TCTTATTTCAAACACTTCTTTAAGCACCTTGCTACAGGGAGTGTTAGACCACTGTTGTTTAGCAAGGCTATGAATTGTGTCTTTCTAAATTGGTGACAAATTTTGGTTTTTGCCATTTCAAATAAGACATTTCTATCGGGGGTACAACTTTTGCATGACATCATTAGGTGATATTCATCTTCTACTTGATTCTGATCACAAAGGTTACATAATCTATTAGCAAGGGGTTGTGTCTGTCAGTCACAATATTTTGCAGGGTAACAAGGTAGGTTTCAAAAGCAAAATTGTTTTTTAATTCTCTGTATGTTCTTAAAGGGGAGCAGAGGTGTGGCTTTTGTCACTCTGTACATGAAATTTGAGATCTATGAATGAATTCTGTCGATAAAAACAACTTATATGTGCTGCGAAATGCCCTAAATATCGGGTATAAAACCGGCTGTGAAGCAGATGACAAACGACCGCTTTGCCTAGCGTCATTTCGCCTCTAGAGGGCCAGTCAGATGATGTCTTCAGTGAACACTGATAATTGAACTCATTCATGCCAGTACGTCAATCCCATAAAAATGCTACTATGAAAGACCTTGTTAACTGACTACTTAAAAGTTGAAACATGGAGAGGTATTGTGTTATGAATGCCATAACGATTCATGTTATGTTTATCGAAATCCTAGATAAAAAATCACGTTGTTGGTTGCGAGAAATCGGCAGAAGAACTAACCTGAAAATGAAGACACGTACAGCGCTCTAGCTATAGTAAACAGTGAGTAAATAAATATTGTTTGAGTTAAAAACTAAATTAGAAATACGCTAATATCACTTGAACTACAGTAATCATTTCGCCCAACTTCCCACTTTTAATCGACCGCTTATCGCTTAATTTCCAACCGCACTGTATTTTCCGACCGGAAAACGACCGCATTTTTATCGTAATTTTTCTCTCACCGACTCATTGAAAACACCGACCGGTCGCCCAAACACTGGTCACTTGCACAGGAGTGATCGAAATAGTGGTTTTGAGTGATACAGTTTGGGGATACAACGGGTACAAACTATTATACCACATTGTATCGTTCGCGGACGATTAAATAACTGACTTTGCGTAATTATTATGAAAGCGATATATTAGAATGTTGAAATTTTTAGAGCTGGTACGACATTGTAAACAAATTTGCGTAATTAGAAAAGCAACGCACTAAGTAAGCGACCTCAAAATATACAAGTTTGCGTACAGCACCGTCAGAACTAATAACAATTGTACAAGATCGACGCGCGGAGCAGGAAAGAAAAAAAATTGCTAAGGTAACGCGCCTGTTCAGTGCGTGACTTGGGGGTCAAACTTCGGTCAACACACACTTGATGTCAGCATCGCCGCGCAGTAAGTTACGCAATGAAGTACTTAAAGTTCAATTGCGTCCCAAAATGATGTCGTTGATCACTCAGTCTTTTGCAAAATATTATAACTAGTTTCCAAGCTTTTGATGCAGCCAGATTTATTTAACTTTGTGGCAATATATTCTTTTTAATTTCCCAGTCCTTTCTGTTCATTCATTGTCTTGACAATTGCTGTGCGAGCTTTTCGTACTCGACCG